GGAATATCCACCACTAAATATAAATGCTTTGGACAAGATCCATATTCATGGAAGATCCATCCCTAAATATAAATCAATCGCGCTCACTATGGGTGTGTACAGACTTCGGAGGGGCTCCTTCAGCCCAAGCGATATCATAAATCAGTATAACCGCTGCGATGTGCAGCCCGATCCCATAATGTCATTTTTAATCAGGCTCTTGGCCTCACTCAGTCATCAATTTTTCCAGTCTCTCTCTCGCGGGNTGATCTCAGTGGGTCCCAACAGGATAAGCATGTAGCCTAGACATGGTTTCTATCATGGATCACAACTCAATAGCTCAAGAACGAAGAAATTTCATGGTTACAGGTAACTATATAGTACCACAGAATAACCGAGTCACAATTCTCACGGTGCATGCCCACACGCCCGTCACATAGCATGTACGTCACCTCAACATCGACCACATAAGACGTAATTCGGGGTTTCATACCCTCAGCACTAAGTTTAGAAGTGTTACCTCGAACAAGCCAATTCCAATACCGAGTAAGCCAAGCGATGCTCCAAAATGTCATCTCATGCGTACCAACCTCCGAAAGGCTTAAAGCTAGCCAAAGCAACTCAAATACATCAAATAAAGCCCAAGAAAATAATTCCAAATGATAAAGATCTAATCCTTAATCAAAATCCAAATCCGGCAAAAAGTTACCCGGGCCTGAGCCTTGGAACCCGACAAAACTCACAAAATCCGACAACCCACTCAATTACGAGTCCAACCATACTAGTTTCATTCAAATCCGACTCCGAATCGGTATTTAAAACTCAAAAATTCGTTTTATGAAACTTTAGGCTAAAACCCTCAATTCCTCTTTAAAATTCATCAACCAATTGCCAAAAATGAAGATAGATTTGTAGAATAAGATCAAAACTAAGTGTAGAATACTTACCCCAATCCTTGTGATGAAATTTGCTCAAAATATCGCCTCAATCCGAGTCCCATATCTCAAAATATGAAGAAAAAACCAAAACCCTCGATTTATAGTCTCTGCCAGCATTTTCGCACATGCGGTACATTAGCCGCTTCTGCGGATTCGCTTCTGCGACATAACCTCCTCTTCTGCGGAATCAGCTGACAACTCGACCCTTGCACCTTTGGACAAAATATCCACATCTGCGACATCGCAGGTGCGATCCACCATCCGCACATGCAAAATACCTCGCTCCTGTGCTCCATCACTTCGCACCTACGCATCCGCATATGCGCCCAAATCTCTGCTTCTGTGATCTTCTTCACCCAGAGCTCACCTCGCCTCTGCGACGCCTTTGTCGATTCTGCAGCCATCGCACCTGTGCAAAATCACCCGTAGGTGCGATCACACCAGAACCAACAGCCTTCAGCAATGCACTATGCAACGAAATGATCTGAACCTCGTCTGAAACTCATCCGAGCCACTCGGGACCCCGTCCGAATATACCAACAAGTCCAATAAATTAAAACGGACCTACTCGAGGCCTCAAATCACGCATAACAATATCGAATCGACGAATCGCAACTCAAATCGAGCTTAATGAACTTTAAACTTTTCAACTTCCAAAACTCGTGCCGAAACATAGCAAATCAATCCGGAATGAACCCAAATTTTGCACACAAGCCCCAAATGACATAATGAATCTATTCCTACTCCCGAAACCACAATACGAACATGATATCTGCAAGTCAACTCTCGGTCAAACTTTTGAACTTTCCAAACCTTTAAATTTTCAATTTTCGCCAATTTGTGCCGAAATCTTCTAAAAACATCCAAATGCGAATCCGGGCATATGTCCGAGTACAAAATCACCATCTGAACCTAACAGAACCATCAAAACTCCGTTCCTGGGTCAAATTCACAAAAAGTCAAACTTGGTCAACTCTTTCAACTTAAAGCTTCAACAATGAAATTCATTCTTCCAAATCGATCCCGAATAACCTGAAAACCAAAATCGATGATTCACATAAGTCATAATACATCATATAGAGCTACTCATGCCCGTAAACTACCGAGCGAAGTGCAAATGCTCAAAATGACCGGTCGGGTCGTTACATCGAGTTAGTGAGGATTTTAAGGCGTGGGATCGTGTGTGTGTGTGTGTGTGTGTGTGTACGTGAAGAAATTAGGGACATGGGGGTTGGTCAGTAAGGAGAACATGAGGGAGAAAGGAAGTGAGGGAGAAAGGAAGTGAGGGAGATAGGGAAATGAGGGATTGGGATGAGTATATCATGGATGATTAGTTAGGATAATATTTTTTTTATATCTTTCAAGATTTACTTATTATTTTTTTTTGAAATGAAGAAAAGCAAAAGTAAAATGCATAGCTAAAAATATTTGTCAACTACTTTATACTTAAATATTATATACATAAGAAAACTAAATATTTACATTGTAGTTTAAATTATACTAAGAAAAATACTATATTACTTATTAAATATTAAATATTTACAACCCGACACATAGAATATAGGGGAGCACCATACATCGCTATGAATCAACTCAAAAGGAGAATGAGATAAGGATTGCAATAATTGAAATGGTAACTTATGATGGTTGCCCAAGGCACAAGCATTACATGGCGCAAAGTCAAATTTCTGTTGAGAACATGAAAGAAACTTATTACGAAGCAAAAATGATAAAACTGAAGGACCCACATGAGCAAGACGCTTGTGCCAATATTCTGGACTAACTCGACTTGTAACATATGCATGAATGTTGTAGAAGAAGAAAGCCTTTGTTGAGTAGATAAAACACGAGCAGAAGACTGTTGTTGTGGCTGAAAAGAGGAAGAACCATGGGGCCGAGTAAACTATTGCGGTGAGTATACCTGTTTACCGGACGGGCTGGTCCGAGCTGAACACAAAAAAAATAATCCGTCCAGTTAGTAGTTCGGGCTGGATAGTGGGCTAGCTAACCGGGCTGCTAGTGGGTTGGGAATTTTCGGGTTAATTTGGGTCAGTCCGGATTCGGGCTTAGCGGGTTCAGACCAGGTCGAGTTATTTTTGTAGTGTATTATATTTTTCTTATTCAATGTAATTGATATTTAAATATTTACAAACTTTTAATTAAGGAAATAAGTATTTTAAAGCATAAAATTAAACTTTTAAACTTTAAAGTTTTAAATTTGAAATTTGAATTTTAAAACTGAAATTTGAACGTAAGTGGCTACAAAATATTATTTAATAAGACCAAAATGTAAGGATCAAACTCCGAAGGCTTTCATTTTATATTTTTATTGAATAATAAATAATACTTCAAATTAGTTTGCAAGTTTTTATTTTATTTTTTTTATTTTTGAACTTACAAATTAAAAGTTTACAACAATTATAAATAATAAGAAAGAGTACATCACATGCCTTGCATCACTTTTGTAAGTTCACCCATGTCAACATGAGGTTTTTGATTTCCGGCATGGCTTGAATCGGAACCACAAACTATTATATTTTTAATTTCTTGATCCTCCGTTTCATCTACCTCTTCACGTCATTGATTTCGTCGTTCTGATCTTATCCAATCTCCGAAGCACAGTAGAACTTCCAAAGCGTTGCTACCCCATGAATAACAAGTATCTCTTAGCTGCTGCCTTACTTGGCTAAGTACGCTATGTGATACGACTGTAGAAATCGGCACATTTAGCACGTCTCGAGCCATGGCCAAAAGAACAGAAAATTAATTTGAGTTGCTCCTCCACCAACCATGCGGTATAAATTCCTTTGAGCGGTGGCTCCGGTAATTTTTTTCAAGTAGAGTTGGAGTAATATTCCTGCTACTAGTTTGCTGATATTCTCCTAGTGTAGACCAAAACAAATAATCATCATTATCCTCCAAAGCACTAGATGCAGATGTAGAAACTGAACTTAAAGGAATATTTGCATCTACAGCAGCAGAAACATCAACAATGTTAGCATAATAATTATATAAAGTTTGTAAATATTTGTGTAGATCAGAAATAAAAATTTCAACATCAGGGGTTTCAGCTGGTCCAATATCCATAAAGAAGTGATTAATTAGCGACAAATGGCCATTTTGATAGAATGAATTAAAATAGCACCAATTAGGTAAATAGCGGGAATATGATAGAAATAGTTCTTAAATTTATCTAGTATAGATTCAACGACAGAACTATATCTTTATTTCTTTTTGAAATTATGGAGTAAAAGAGAAATTTTAGCAATATGTACTAAACCATTTACAATAGTGGGATAATAAGCTCAACCCCTAGTATTTTGACTAGCAGTACGACGTATAAGTGGTGATGTTTCAAGATTATCAGGTGATTGAATATCATCTAAATTATCATCTGTACCATAATTTTCTTGAAGTTGCTCATAATCTACATTTAAATTTTCATGTGAACTTTCCGAAATATGTGTAAAGCTACTAGAAGAACCAGAACCACCTCTTGATCTTTTAGAATTTTTACTCGTGTGAGCATGCAATTTTTTCCCTAATGCAAATTGCTCCTAAAATAATCCAAAATAGCTTTTATTATTTTTATAGAAATTTAGGAATTTTTCTTTATTAGAAAATGCTTTAAATCATAAAAATCACCAAAAAATATTTTTTATATTTCATTTAGTGTAGTTTATGATTTTAATTACATGTTAGGATTTAATCATATGTTAAAAAGTATTGTTAAAATATAAAGATCACAAAAAATACATATAATATTTCTTTTCTTCTTAGGTTCAACTAATTAGTTAAATTGGGAATCAACAAATTAATTAGTTTAAGTAGATAATTCAGGTAAAGGGTTAATTTTGTAATTTAAGTTCTAAGTGTTATGTTAGTTAGAGTGGCTAACATTGCAAAAATATAAAGAAGGAAAAGAAAGACAAGGGCAGGCTAAAAATCTGACTGGGCCATTTGTTTCAAGCCCAATGTTTGCCACATTCTGCCCCAGCCCAATGCCAACACCCGGTCCAAATCATAGAAAAGAAGAAGAAGAACAGAGAAAAAACAAAAAACTTTAAAAAAACGAAGGGAAAATCATAGAAAAGAAGGTCACAAGAGCTGTTTTTATTTCTGCTGCAATACCTCGCAATTTCTGGGGTTTCGAGCTGTTTTTTTGGCTGGGAATTGAAGCCGCTCTTTGCTAAGCTTGTTTTGCTGAGACCTTGTTTGGTTTTTGATTTCCTGTTTACCTGCTGTTAAGGTACTAATTCTGGTTTCAAATAGTATGGCTGCTATTTTGCTATAATATTGTTAGGTTTGCTGTAATCAGTCATCTCTATGTGTAAAATGCTTCAACGTTAAATGCAAGCTTGATTTGGTCTCAATTACCTCTATATGTGAAGTACAATATAGAACTATGTATAAATATTATTCTGAAAAAATCATTGCTGAAACTTCTGTGTTTCTCCATAAATGACAATTCGTTTGAATTCAGGGCCCGTAATAATTGTTTGATTGGATTTGCAAAGTCGTCTTCAATGGATTTGTAGTTAAATAGGAAGTGAAATTTTAACGGGCCCGTCAGCCTTTGACCCAGTTTCTTATCCATGATTGTCGGGTTAGTCAAGGCTAGCCTTTGAGTGGTTTTGGGGCCTGGCAGGGGTGACTACCACAGGCTCACATTGGCCCGTCCAAATCCTCCATTGTCACGTTTGGCTGATGGTTGGAGCCCAGACCTTCTTCTATTATTGAAGGCTCCACTTAATTATTTGTCAAAGCTTCATCTACTTTTTCCCATGTGTTCGTTTAGCCCCCATTAATTAGTTGTGATATTCTTGAAAACGTGAATTCGTATAATCTCCCGCATGAGTTACTTAGGACTGAAAGGCAGATTGACCCAAACCAGAACCCATTAATTTTATTGTTAAACAACCAAGCTAAGTAAATCTTTCTGCTTTTAAAAATGAACGATGCCCTTTTCTAGTGAACAACCCTGCATTATTCCCAAAGACAAGTTGATTGAGGAAGGCCAAAATGATACGTTTATCATACACGGTTTCCATAACTTCGGGCTTGTCACAATAATCCCAAAGCTTAGGAAAATTGATTAACGTATAAACATCATAGCTTGCTTTAGGCGCGATTAATAAATCATCATGGCCATGGGTACGGTTTCCGTGGCATGGTCACGATACAACTCAAGTGCGTATTTCACGCGACTTGACCACAACTTCAAATAAATTAATAATAAACATGTTGTAAATCGTGGGTGCGTTTCACGTGGCGTGATTTGCAATATGTACTAAACAACAAGTGCACGACATCGTGACTTGCTTCAAATAAACTCCATAATTATTTAAAATTAACCGGTTAGAAGGTAAAAAAAAATGCACATAAGTCTTAAAATATGTAATAAATCAGATAATTAGGACAAGTATTAATTGTTAAGCGACCGTGCTAAAACCACGAAACTCGGGAGTGCTTCACACCTTCTCCCGGGTTAACAAAATTCCTTACCCGGTCTTCTATGTTCGCAGACCATAAATAGAGTCAATTTCATTTGGGATTAAAATGAACCGGTGACTTGGGACACCATAAATAGTCAGAGATGTGACACTTGTATTTGCTCGATCTTTTCATTTTATATGATGGTTTTTTGATTGGAGGCAAAGTTTGGGATGTTAAGTTGACTTTTATATTATGTTAGTGATAGTAAAACTAACTAGTAATGGTTGAAAAGTTATTTGACAAAGAGAACATCACATCAAAGTTTAAAATGTTCAAAACACTGACTTCTTGAAAGTTGTGAAAGTTATAAATAAAAAGATTGGTTCAAATATTGTGGAACATCTCAAATTATTTTAGGCGATCTTTGAACCTCTGCCTACTTTGATACCATGTTGAACTTATTATACCGTAATCTAAAAGGCAAGACACCTTTTGTTTATTTAATTTAGGTCTTTGCAACAAAAGAAAGCTAGCTGCAAATGGAATTTTGCCCAGACTGTTCAATGTTACTGCAATATGAGTTGCCTCATATGGAACGTCCAGCCAGATTCTTTTGCCCTTCGTGCCCTTTTGTATGTACATAGAGAGCCGGGTAAGATAACCAGACAAATTTGTCATAATTGATAATGCTTGATAGCTTTTAGTTCCTTTGATTATCCGTTCAGTCAGTTTACTTTTTTTAATTACCCTTTTTTGATAGCTTAAGCTGAAGAAAAAGCAAGCTTTAGTAAAGAAACAAATGGATCCAGTGATTTCGACAGATGACATGGAGAATGCTTCAACAGCTGAAGGTCTTAGCACTTTCTGTTCCTATAGCCTCTTGGTATTTTCATGATTTGCTGCCACTGCTTTCACTTTTTGTTCTAAGAATTAGTTGTTCGATGACTTAGTATTGTCCTCTGACTAATAGAATATGCCTTGACCAGCTTTTCCTCATCTAAAATTAATAGTAATAACCAAATTATTGCTTATTATTTCGAAAAACCTCTGGAGTACTTATAGTTAGAGAAGAAAGATGTGCATATATAATATTTGAATGCTTTGTGTTCTTATAATTGGTTGTCCATTGAGTTTAATGGGCTTTAGAACATAGGGTATAACTGGCTCTTGACTGCTTGTTTTATAAGGATAAAGCAAATCTTAGAGGGTGTTTGGATTGGCTTTTAAGCTGGTCAAATCAGCTTTTAAGCTCTTTTTAGCTTTTTTCAGTGTTTGGCAAAGTTTAAAAGTCCTGAAAATAAGTTAAAAACTGCTTAAAACAAGCCAAAAGCAATAAGCTGGGCAGCCCCAACTTATTGCTTTTTGTCTTAAAAGCTATTTCTGCTGAAAAGCCAATTTTTTAAGCCAATCCAAACGGGCTCTTAAAGTATCAGTAAATATAGGCCCCTCTTCTAAGTAACTCGTAATGGCTTGATTTCGCTGATAAGATTATATATTACTGGAGTAATAACTAATAAAAAAAAGAAACTAATAACTTTATATATTTGACAGCTTATATTTGTTGGTTGTGTGGTTGAATGTCTGTGAAGCGCACTTTTGATTCTTGCAATCACATTCTTTTTGTATCAATTTGTGGTTTTATTGATTGGTCACAAAAAAAAATTCTTCTTCTTCTTCTTCTATTAATTCTATCATGTCGCTTGTTTTGGTGTCCATAATTCTAGAAGACTTGAGTATAAATTATGCTGGCTTGTTTTTGGTGTCCATATTGCTCGCTGGGGATATAAACCTAACTCACCTTAGGTATATTAATGATGACTTGAACTCGCATTATCGGAGAGCAATATGTGTTAAGAGATTAATATTGTGTTTGAATTAACATTCCTTTTTCAGTTGTTAATTTTGTTTGTCTCATTATCTTTTGAAGGTAGCAATCATGGTTGAACGGCGGGGACATTGACAATCAACAAGCCAGTCAATGGAGGCAGCCACCTATTGATGTTTATGTGAAAATGCTGTTATACCACCTATGTCACGACCCAAAGCTAGAGGATTATGATCAGCAACCAACGCTATCATCATAGCGGAACGAATCCGGATCCGAATCCAAGTCTACATACCATATAAGAGACCAATATCTCAATACGCATTACATTTATATGATCATAATGCAAGGAGATCCAAATTCAAAGAACTTATGTGAAATTCTAATTATTAATTAAGTCTTCCATTATTAAGACTAAAGTGAACATTATCAAAAAAATAGTTTTATAGAAAACTCAATATCATATTTAATGGAAATACTAGTGACAACCATACATGGACAATGGAACAACTAAAAAAACTTTTAATAAAGATCGTGAACTCTCATTTCAACTAATTAGGCACTCTTGCTTCTTTCTTTAAATTAATCCATCTTAGAAACAAAAGCACGATTAATTATTTGACTTTCCATTTAACCTCTTGGTAGTGAGACAACAAAAACGGAGAGGTAAAAAATAATCATCATCCTTATCCTAAAGTTTGGCCATAACAATTATACGATTTTACCCTTAGATGCTTGAAAAAAAAATTAGTACTCTTTTTTTTTTCATGACCTTAACGACATCGAAACCCATGAAAAGATTCCTTTATTTTCTTTTTCAATTTTAAACATATTCTTACCAAGATTTGTGTTGATGTTCTTAACCTACTCGTTTGTATCTTTTGTTTATTAGCATATAGGTTGAGTTCTATGTCAAAACTTTCACCACTATGTTGACATTAATTTATTGCATCTTCACTAAGTTAGTGATACTTTCTATTTGTTCTGCACGACATGAAGTATTTTGTTGAAACATATAGCATTGCTTAAGGAATATGAAATAATAAGTCATTGACTTTCTTTGCCAGTTCCTAAATAATTGTCAAGAGTAAACTCTTATATTTTATAGGAAAAAATTACTAGAAATCTTAAGATCATTAGTCATGAGTGCAGTTATTCATATTCCTATTAATAAAACGCATCATCGTTCATCAACCTTGAAAAGAAATTAAGCCAGAATAATCTGAATTAATTAGGCCAGACAGTTAAATTGCCTAGGAAAGAGATGAAAAAGAGGATGGGATTAACATAAAGTTTCTTCAAAATTGGAGATAGAATACGAAAACCAATAAGGATTGAGACAGAGGACTAAATACTTTTTTATTCTTAACCAGAAGAATCGTGTTCGAACTTTATATATAAAGTCATTGTTATTTTGTTTAGAGTATTTTTGGTGAAACTTTGGACGGAAACCCAAAAAAATAAATAGAACACGAAACTTATTTTTTGTCAAGGAGAACACATTGTTCAATTTGTAAATTTTTGAACAGCTCTGCGAGTTTTACAAGGTTTCTCTATCACTTATCTTAATCTCTGGATTCTATTTCCTTTGTCTTGCTTTTCTTTTTCCTCGAAAATCAAAACAAAGCTTAGAAAATGAAAAAGAAGAAGAAGAAGAAGTAACTCAAACGAAGTTTTGAATATAAAAAATGAAGCCAAGCATCAGACTTGCCTAAGATTTGCATTTGTTCAATTCATCCTCTTTCTCTTGCTCTTGTTCTTGCTTCTTTCATTTCCACTCCTATTAAAACAAGTTTAATTATCACCTCTTAACATTGCCTTATTTCTTGAAATCTCCAAAATACAGAAGGGAGGAAAACGAAAAAATATAAAAATGAAGAAGAATAAAAGGAAGATAAAGAAGAAGAAGAAGAGGAGGAGGAGGTAAGAGTTAGGAAGAAAAATGGTGGAATATTTATAAGGGAAATGGATAAAAACTTAGTTCAAAGGTGAGAAAGTTCGAAGTAACAAGGTGTTTTCTTTTGCTTTATTTAACCTTTTTAAAAAAAACAAAAATTTGGGATAAATGAAAGTGCATCAATCAGTACATGTTAACCAACTGGATACCTAACAAATTAAGTTATAGGATTAAATATCTAATTTATAAGGGCATATGTCACATGTTTGTATTATTGTTTTCCTATGTCATGGAATATTTTATTATAATAATTGCTACTAAAGAACATACTTAAGATAAAGTGGGATCCAAGGGAAGCTAATGTAAAAGAAAAGATAAAGAAAAAAAGATAAGGGTCCCAAATGAGGAAGAGGAAAAAATATTAGGCCTACTCAGAACTTTTAAATTAGTAATTTTTTTTTTAATTTTTGGTTTTTGATCTTCATGAATTGCTATTTATTAATAACAGATGCACTGATTCTATCAAGCTTAGTGCTACTTTCCACTTATATAGTGTTGAGTAGGAGTGTACATAAATCGGGTTGGTTCGGATTTTTTGATTATCAAACCAAACCAATGGTGTCGGGTTTTTAAATCTATAAACCAAACCAAATCAACAAAGTCGGGTTTTCAATCTCGGGTTTTTTGAGTTTTTTCGAGTTTTTAATTTTTTTCCGGTAAAGTCTTCATAGCACAAAAATATGTAACTTGTGCTCCAAATATTTCTTTAGTCTTAGTAAGATACAACTATATAATTTATTTTCCAAGAAAATAACATAATAATATGAGATAGGTCATAGCATTATACTAAATAACCTAAAAATACAATATAGGCTATGCTAAAATAAGTATTATTAATTACATAACTAAGCACTAAAGAAAAAGATAAACTAAGTTATGTATTTTCATTATAACTAATATATCAAAAAATAAATATCAAACACTATCATCATTCCTAATGTTAGAATTGAATTTCTTTTGTTAGCATTAATATTGATTTGAACTTTGTTTAAGTTACTACATTTATGGCCTATAAAATTTATTTACCACAAGAATGTTAAGTACAAACTTAAAATAATACGTTAATAAATAAAATTATAAAAAAGTTTAAAAAATATTTATAAATTATATTACAATAAATATTTATATGTATAAAATATTAAAAATTGTATAAATACACTATCAGGTTGGTTTGGTTTCAGTTTGACTTTTTTTAGTTAAAACCAAATCAAACCAATTATGGTCGGATTTTTTTTCAATATCAAAACACATTTGGGTTTTTTTTTCCGGTTTGACTCGAAGTATCGATTTGATATAATTTATCGGTTTTCTTTGTACACCCCCTAGTGTTGAGTATAAACATCCCAATGAAACCTTTTAATTTAGCTTGGGACTTAACTTGTATATACGAATAACGTAAATTAATGTTATACTGTTAGTGTTTTTCAGTTTGTTTATATGACTTGTCATACTTTTCAGATTACTAATTATAGAAATTTTTATAATTCAAGCAGTACCAATATTTGTATTAAGGTAGGCTCTTTGTCACGATCCAAAATTCGACTATTCGTGATGACACATAACCCAACCCGCTAGGTAAGCCAGTTAACCACTAACCAATTTCAATAACAATTTATAAAGAAATTAAGTAATGAAATATCTTAATCTTATACAATCCCTAAGAACTGGCAGTAGAAATCATGAGTTTCTAAGAATAGAGTTTACAAAGCGGAAATGAAATAAATACATAGTCTGTTTGAATAGTACATAAACAGAGTTTTACAGATCTAAAGCTACCACGAACAAGAGGCAGCTACAGCCGGTACACAGGTATATCTTCATTCCAGCTCCCATCGAATACGGCAACAACAACAGCCAACATCTGCAAGCAAGATGCAGAAGTGTAGTATGAGTACAACCGACCCCATGTATTCAGTAAGTAACAAACCTAACCTTAGGTTGAAAGTAGTGACGAGCTTGTACCAAGGTCGGGTCCCAACTTCAATAACCAACAACAATTCATAATAACACAAAACAAGTAATACCAGAAGTAACCCAACAATCAAATGTTCAGCAAAAACATGATTTTTGAAAATAGTTCCACCTTTCGAGTACTTCAATGAAAACCCAAATCGTTTACCAGAGTTACCAAAAATACGAATAAGTTTGAAAACAATAATTTTTCAAAAATCATTTCCATAATAAATAAGATGTTTCATTTTCTTTCTAGATAACCAATGTAAAACAAATGCATCACTATGCCCACCTGTCAACATGTGTGAGAAATCATGAATGATTTGATACCGTACAACATGAGGAAAATACATCTCTATGCCTGTATGTCATGTGTGCATGTCAATGCAATGCATCTCAGAGATGAACTCATGTACTCACACTCTCAGAGTACTCAATCTCACTGTCTCGCATTCTCTCTCACTATGCTCAAGGCTCAGCACGCTCAATCACTCAGCGCTGTATAATACCCGTTGCGGCATGCAACACGATCCACACATATATATATAGTCGACTGCGCTCACTAGGGGTGTGAAGACTCCGGAGGGGCTCCTGCAGCCCAAGCGCTATACTGATGCGACGTGTAGCCCGATCCAATATTGTTGTGGCGTGCAACCCAATCTAATATTATTGTGGCGTGCAACCCGATCCAATAATTAATATATATATATATATATATATATATATCCCGAAGGCTTGTTGCGGCATGCAACCCGACCCATATAAAATATAATCAATATCATATGCTGCGGCGTGCAACCCAATCCCAAAATGTCACTCTCACTCAGGCCCTTGGCCTCACTCAATCATCAATCTCTCCAGTCTCACTCACGGGCTCACAATGCCATGAAACTAGCCCGACAAAAATGATATGATGTATCAATAAACAACAACTGAGACTGATATATGATATGAATGCATGAATATGACTGAGTACAATATATCAATGAAATCAGTGAGATGACAGCAAGAAACGACCACTATGGATCCTAACAATATCAGTGTAAAGCCTAAACATGATATTTAGTATGATTGACAGCTTAACTACTTTATCACATGGTGATAACATAGATATCAACAATATAGGGCCACTATACAGTGCCATGGAAACAACGCAATCACAATTCACAGGGTGCACGCCCACACGCCCGTCACCTAGCATGTGCGTCACCTCAATACCAATCATATAACACATATTTCGGGGTTTCATACCTTCAGCACTAAGATTAGAAGAGTTACTTACCTCGAAAAAGCCAATATCAATGCCGAGGAAGCCAAACGATGCTCCAAAATTCCATCCCGCGCGTTCTGACCTCCGAACGGCTCGAAACTAACCAAAAACAACTTAAATACATCAAACAATGCTAAAAGAATCAATCCGGATCGAAAAAGATCAAACCTTGAATCAAAAGCCCAAAATCGGCCCACACCTCAGAACGTGATAAAACTTATAAAATCCAACAACCCATT